CTGCGAGTGTCTGTATGTGTCTGCGTGTATCTGTATGTGTCTGCGAGTGTCTGTATCTGCGTGTCTGTATGTATCTGTGAGTGTCTGTATCTGCGAGTGTCTGTACGTATCCGCGCGTGTCTGTATGTATCTGCGAGTATCTGTATGTATCTGCGCGTGTCTGTATGTATCTGCGAGTGTCTGTATGTATCCGCATGTCTGTATGTATCTGTATGTATCTGTATGTACCTGCGCGTGTCTGTATGTATCTGTGCGTGTCTGTATGTATCTGCGAGTGTCTGTATGTATCCGCATGTCTGTATGTATCTGTATGTATCTGTATGTACCTGCGCGTCTGTATGTATCTGCGAGTGTCTGTATGTATCCGCATGTCTGTATGTATCTGTATGTATCTGTATGTACCTGCGCGTGTCTGTATGTATCTGTGCGTGTCTGTATGTATCTGCGAGCGTCTGTATGTATCTGCGAGTGTCTGTATGTATCTGTACGTGTCTGTATGTATCTGCGAGTGTCTGTATGTATCTGCGAGTGTCTGTATGTATCTGAGTGTATGTGTATGTATCTGCGCGTGTCTGTATGTATCTGCGCATGTCTGTATGTATCTGTATGTATCTGCGCGTGTCTGTATGTATCTGCGCGTGTCTGTATGTATCTGCGCGTGTCTGTATGTATATGTGCGTGTCTGTATGTATCTGCGCGTGTCTGTATGTATCTGCGAGTGTCTGTATGTATCTGCGTGTATGTATCTGCAATAATTAGCATGCGTGTATGTGTCTGCATGTATCTGAATGTATCAGGGAGTGTGTATCTATATGCGTGTGTGTATCTGTGTGTATGTATCTGTGTGTATCTGTGTGTATGTATCTGTGTGTATCTGTGTGTAAGTATCTGTGTGAATCTGTGTGTATGTATCTGTGTGTATCTATATGTATCTGTGTGTGTCTGTGTGTATGTATCTATATGTATCTGTGTGTATGTATCCACGTGTATCTGTGTGTATGTATCTGTATGTATGTATCTGTGTGTATGTATCTGTGTGTATGTATCTGTATCTGTGTGCATGTATCTGTGTGTATGTATCTGTATGTGTCTGTGTGTATCTGTGTGTATGTATCTGTGTGTATGTATCTGTGTGTATGTATCTATGTGTATCTGTGTGTGTATCTGTGTATGTATCTGTGTGTATATGTCTGTGTGTATCTGTGTGTGTGTATCTGTGTGTATGTATCTGTGTGTATCTGTGTGTATGTATCTGTGTGTATGTGTCTGTGTGTATGTGTCTGTGTGTATCTGTGTGTATGTATCTATGTGTATCTTGTGTATGTATCTGTATGTATGTATCTGTGTGTATGTATCTGTGTGTATGTATCTGTATGTATGTATCTGTAATATGTATCTGTGTGTATGTATCTGCGTGTATGTATCGGTGTGTATCTGTGTGTATGTATCTGTATGTATCTGTGTGTATGTGTCTGTGTGTATTTGTGTGTGTGTATCTGTGTGTATGTATCTGTGTATCTGTGTGTGTGTATCTGTGTGTGTATCTATGTGTATCTGTGTGTATGTATCTGTGTGTATGTATCTGTGTGTATGTATCTGTGTGTATGTATCTGTGTGTATGTATATGTGTGTATGTATCTATGTGTATATGTGTGTATCTGTATGTATCTGTGTGTATCTGTGTATGTATCTGTGTGTATCTGTGTGTATGTATCTGTGTGTATGTACCTGTGTGTATCTGTGTGTATGTATCTGTGTGTATGTGTCTGTGTGTATCTGTGTGTATGTATCTGTTTGTATCTGTGTGTATGTATCTGTGTGTATGTGTCTGTGTGTATCTGTGTGTATGTATCTGTGTGTATGTATATGTGTGTATGTATCTGTGTGTATCTGTGTGTATGCATCTGTGTGCATGTATCTGTATGTATCTGTGTGTATCTGTGTGTATGTATCTGTGTGTATGTATCTGTGTGTATTTATCTGTGTGTATGTATCTGTGTGTATGCATCTGTATGTATCTGTGTGTATCTGTGTGTATGTATATGTGTGTATGTGTCTGTGTGTATCTGTGTGTATGTATCTGTATGTATCTGTGTGTATGTGTCTGTGTGTATCTGTGTGTATGTATCTGTGTGTATGTGTCTGTGTGTATGTATCTGTATGTGTCTGTGTGTATCTGTGTGTATCTGTGTGTATCTGTGTGTATGTATCTGTATGTGTCTGTGTGTATCTGTGTGTATGTATCTGTGTGTATGTATCTGTGTGTATGTATCTGTGTGTATGTATCTATGTGTATCTGTGTGTATCTGTGTGTATGTATCTGCGTGTATATGTATGTGTGTATCTGTGTGTATATGTCTGTGTGTATCTGTGTGTATGTGTCTGTGTGTATCTGTGTGTATGTATCTGTGTGTGTATCTGTGTGTATGTATCTGTGTGTGTATCTGTGTGTATGTATCTGTGTGTACCTGTGTGTATCTGTATGTATCTGTGTGTATCTGTGTGTATCTGTGTGTATGTGTCTGTGTTTATCTGTGTGTATGTATCTGTATGTATCTGTGTGTATGTGTGTATGTATCTGTGTGTATGTATCTGTGTGTATGTGTCTGTGTGTATGTGTCTGTGTGTATGTATCTGTATGTGTCTGTGTGTATGTGGCTGTGTGTATCTGTGTGTATGTATCTGTGTGTATGTATCTGTGTGTATCTGTGTATGTATCTGTGTGTATCTGTGTGTATGTATCTGTATGTGTCTGTGTGTATCTGTGTGTATGTATCTTTGTGTATGTATCTGTGTGTATGTATCTATGTGTATCTGTGTGTGTATCTGTGTATGTATCTGTGTGTATATGTCCGTGTGTATCTGTGTGTATGTATCTGTGTGTATGTCTGTGTGTATCTGTGTGTGTGTATCTGTGTGTATGTATCTGTGTGTATGTATCTGTGTATCTGTGTGTGTGTATCTGTGTGTGTATCTATGTGTATCTGTGTGTATGTATCTGTGTGTATGTATCTGTGTGTATGTATCTGTGTGTATGTATATGTGTGTATGTATCTATGTGTATCTGTGTGTATCTGTATGTATCTGTGTGTATCTGTGTATGTATCTGTGTGTATCTGTGTGTATGTATCTGTGTGTATGTACCTGTGTGTATCTGTGTGTATGTATCTGTGTGTATGTGTCTGTGTGTATCTGTGTGTATGTATCTGTTTGTATCTATGTGTATGTATCTGTGTGTATGTGTCTGTGTGTATCTGTGTGTATGTATCTGTGTGTATGTATATGTGTGTATGTATCTGTGTGTATCTGTGTGTATGCATCTGTGTGCATGTATCTGTATGTATCTGTGTGTATCTGTGTGTATGTATCTGTGTGTATGTATCTGTGTGTATTTATCTGTGTGTATGTATCTGTGTGTATGCATCTGTATGTATCTGTGTGTATCTGTGTGTATGTATATGTGTGTATGTGTCTGTGTGTATCTGTGTGTATGTATCTGTATGTATCTGTGTGTATGTGTCTGTGTGTATCTGTGTGTATGTATCTGTGTGTATGTGTCTGTGTGTATGTATCTGTATGTGTCTGTGTGTATCTGTGTGTATCTGTGTGTATGTATCTATGTGTATCTGTGTGTGTATCTGTGTGTATGTATCTGCGTGTATATGTCTGTGTGTATCTGTGTGTATATGTCTGTGTGTATCTGTGTGTGTATCTGTGTGTATGTGTCTGTGTGTATCTGTGTGTATGTATCTGTGTGTATCTGTGTGTATGTATCTGTGTGTGTATCTGTGTGTATGTATCTGTGTGTACCTGTGTGTATCTGTATGTATCTGTGTGTATCTGTGTGTATGTGTCTGTGTTTATCTGTGTGTATGTATCTGTATGTATCTGTGTGTATGTGTGTATGTATCTGTGTGTATGTATCTGTGTGTATGTGTCTGTGTGTATGTGTCTGTGTGTATGTGTCTGTGTGTATGTATCTGTATGTGTCTGTGTGTATGTGGCTGTGTGTATCTGTGTGTATGTATCTGTGTGTATGTATCTGTGTGTATCTGTGTATGTATCTGTGTGTATCTGTGTGTATGTATCTGTATGTGTCTGTGTGTATCTGTGTGTATGTATCTTTGTGTATGTATCTGTGTGTATGTATCTATGTGTATCTGTGTGTGTATCTGTGTATGTATCTGTGTGTATATGTCCGTGTGTATCTGTGTGTATGTATCTGTGTGTATGTCTGTGTGTATCTGTGTGTGTGTATCTGTGTGTATGTATCTGTGTGTATGTATCTGTGTGTACGTGTCTGTGTGTATACGTGTCTGTGTGTATCTGTGTGTGTGTATCTGTGTGTATGTATCTGTGTGTATCTGTGTGTATGCATCTGTGTGTACATGTGTGTATCTATGTGTATCTGTGTGTATGTATCTGTGTGTATGTATCTGTGTGTATATGTCTGTGTGTATCTGTGTGTATGTATCTGTGTGTATGTATCTGTGTGTATGTATCTGTGTGTATGTATCTGTGTGTATGTATCTGTGTGTATGTATCTGTGTGTATCTGTGTGTATGTGTCTGTGTGTATCTGTGTGTGTGTGTATCTGTGTGTATGTGTCTGTGTGTATCTGTGTGTGTATCTGTGTGTACCTGTGTGTACCTGTGTGTATCTGTGTGTATCTGTGTGTATGTATCTGTGTGTATGTGTCTGTGTGTATCTGTGTGTATGTATCTGTGTGTGTATCTGTGTGTGTATCTGTGTGTATGTATCTGTGTGTATCTGTGTGTATATGTCTGTGTGTATCTGTGTGTGTGTATCTGTGTGTATGTATCTGTGTGTATCTGTGTGTATGTATCTGTGTGTATGTATCTGTGTGTATCTGTGTGTACCTGTGTGTATCTGTGTGTATCTGTGTGTATGTATGTATCTGTGTGTATGTATATGTGTGTATGTGTCTGTGTGTATGTATCTGTGTGTATGTATCTGTATGTATCTACGTCTGCACCTACCTAACAGCGTGAAGAGTCGTCGATCATTGCTCCCTCCTCCTCCTGCTGCTGCTCCGTCTCTAGCCCACATCAACAAACCATCATCAGCGCCGCCACCACCATCAGCACCACCACCATCAGCACCACCACCATCAGCACCACCACCATCAGCACCACCACCACCACCACTCCTCCTGCTGCTGCACCCGGTTAGATCACCGTCCGTGAGCGGCGCCTCCTTGAGCGGAGAGTCGCGAATCGACGTCGCGCGTGGGACATCGATTAGCGACGAATCGAGTCGAACGGCGGATGGTGCCGCTGATGATGGTGGTGGTGGTGGTACTGATGATGATGATGGTGGTACTGATGATGATGGTGGTGGGACTGATGATGATGGTGGTGGTACTGATGATGATGGTGGTGGTACTGATGATGATGGTGGTGGTACTGATGATGATGATGGTGGTACTGATGATGATGGTGGTGGTACTGATGATGATGATGGTGGGACTGATGATGATGGTGGTGGTACTGATGATGATGGTGGTGGTACTGATGATGATGGTGGTGGTACTGATGATGATGATGGTGGTACTGATGATGATGGTGGTGGTACTGATGATGATGATGGTGGGACTGATGATGATGGTGGTGGTACTGATGATGATGATGGTGGGACTGATGATGATGGTGGTGGTAGACTGATGATGATGGTGGTGGTAGACTGATGATGATGGTGGTGGTACTGATGATGTTGGTGGTGGTGGTACTGATGATGATGGTGGTGGTGGTGGTACTGATGATGATGATGGTGGGACTGATGATGATGGTGGTGGTAGACTGATGATGATGGTGGTGGTGGTAGACTGATGATGATGGTGGTGGTGGTACTGATGATGATGGTGGTGGTGGTACTGATGATGATGGTGGTGGTGGTACTGATGGTGATGGTGGTGGTACTGGACTGATGATGATGGTGGTAGACTGATGATGGTGGTGGTACTGGACTGATGATGATGTTGGTGGTACTGATGATGATGGTGGTGGTGGTACTGATGATGATGATGGTGGTGGTGGTACTGATGATGATGGTGGTACTGATGATGATGATGATGGTGGTACTGATGATGATGATGGTGGTGGTACTGATGATGATGATGGTGGTACTGATGATGATGGTGGTGGTACTGATGATGATGGTGGTGGTACTGATGATGGTGGTGGTACTATGATGATGGTGGTGGTACTGATGATGGTGGTGGTGGTACTGATGATGGTGGTGGTGCTGCTGATGATGATGGTGGGACTGATGATGATGGTGGTACTGATGATGATGGTGGTGGTGGTACTGATGATGATGGTACTGATGATGATGGTGGTGGTACTGATGATGATGGTGGTACTGATGATGATGGTGGTACTGATGATGATGGTGGTGGTGGTACTGATGATGATGATGGTGGTACTGATGATGATGATGGTGGTACTGATGATGATGATGATGGTGGTACTGATGATAATGATGGTGGTGGGACTGATGATGATGGTACTGATGATGATGGTGGTACTGATGATAATGATGGTGGTGGTACTGATGATTTTGGTGGTACTGATGATAATGATGATGGTGGTACTGCTGATGATGATGGTTACTGCTGATGACAGTGACGATGATGCTGCTGATGTAGAATGTTTATAATAGTGCTGCTGCTGATGTTTACTGCTGATGATGATGTTTCCTGTTGACAGTAGTGCAGCAGCTGATGATGATGTTCACTGCTGATGATAGTGCAGCAGCTGATGATGATGATGTTGCTGATGATGATGTTTGTAGTTGATGGCGTGTGCGCTGCTGGTAATGTTGGATGCTGATGGTGATTCTTCTCCTACTTCCGCTGATGATGATGCCGCTGATATTACTGCTGCTGATGATGATGATTGTTTACTGCTGCTGATGATGCTGCTTCTGATGATGAAGCTGCAGTTTCTGCGGATGATGATATTTGCCGCTTCTGCTGCCGATCATTTTACTGCTGCTGATGACGATGTTTTTCTTACTGCTGCTGATGATGATGGTGTTTCAACTGCTGCTGCTGATGATGATAGTTATTGATGTGAGAGCGACTCACTGAGATTCGTAAATATCTTCAATCGCTGTCTTCTCTCTCTCCCTTCTTCGCGATCTCTCTCTCTCTCTGTCTCTCTCCTCCTCTCTTCCTGTGCGTCTCTCTCTCCCTGTGTCTCTTTCCCTCTGTCTCTCTCCCTGTGTGTGTCTCCCTGTGTGTGTCTCTCTCTCCCTGTGTCTCTTTCCCTGTGTCTCTCTCCTCCTCTCTCCCTGTGTCTCTCTCCTCTCTTCCTGTGTGTCTCTCACTCTTTGCGTGTGTCTCTCACTCTCTGCGTGTGTCTCTCACTCTCTGTGTCTCTCTCCTCCTCTCTTCCTGTGTGTGTGTCTCCCTGTGTGTCTCTCGCTCTGTGTCTCTCTCCTCCTCTCTCCCTGTGTGTGTGTCTCCCTGTGTGTGTGTCTCCCTGCGTGTGTGTCTCCCTGTGTGTCTCTCACTCTCTGTCTCTCTCCTCCTCTCTTCCTGTGTCACTCACTCTCTGTCTCTCTCCTCACTCTCTGCGTGTGTCTCTCACTCTCTGTTTCTCTCTCCTCTCTTCCTGTGTCTCTCACTCTCTGTCTCTCTCTCCTCTCTTCCTGTGTCTCTCACTCTCTGTGTCTCTCTCCTCCTCTCTTCCTGTGTGTGTGTCTCTCACTCTCTCCTCTCTTGCTGTGTGTCTCTCACTCTCTGTGTCTCTCTCCTCCTCACTCTCTGCGTGTGTCTCTCTGCTCTGTGTGTATCTCTCCTCCTCTCTTCCTGCGTGTGTCTATCTCTGCTCTGTGTGTCTCTCCTCCTCCTCCTCTCCCCTCCTCACTAATTCTCGCAAATGAACGACACGAGGAATGATGGAGAGAGCGAGCGAGTTTCTTTGAGGCTGTTTCACTGGGGGAGAGGGTGGGGGGGTTGGGGGGGGTGGAGGCGTGGTGTGGGGGTGGGGATGGTGGTGGTAGGAGATTTAGGATGTGTGTAGGGTTGGTGGTGTGTGTGTGTGTAGGATGGTGGTGTGTGTAGGGTTGGTGGTGTGTGTGTGTAGGCTTGGTGGTGTGTATAGGATGGTGGTGTGTGTGTAGGGTTGGTGGTGTGTGTGTGTGTGTATGGTGGTGGTGTGTGTAGGGTTGGTGGTGTGTGTGTGTAGGCTTGGTGGTGTGTATAGGATGGTGGTGTGTGTGTAGGGTTGGTGGTGTGTGTGTGTGTAGGGTTGGTGGTATGTATGTAGGGTTGGTGGTATGTATGTAGGGTTGGTGTGTGTGTGTAGGATGGTGGTGTGTGTGTGTGTAGGGTGGTGGTGTGTGTGTGTAGGGTTGGTGGTGTGTGTAGGGTTGGTGGTGTGTATAAGATGGTGGTGTGTGTGTAGGGTTGGTGGTGTGTGTGTGTAGGGTTGGTGGTATGTATGTAGGGTTGGTGTGTGTGTGTGTAGGATGGTGGTGTGTTTGTGTAGGGTGGTGGTGTGTGTAGGATGGTGGTGTGTGTAGGGTTGGTGGTGTGTATGTGTATGTAGGGTTGGTGGTGTGTGTGTGTAGGGTGATGTGTGTGTGTGGTAGTGTGTGTAGAGTGGTGGTGGTGTGTATAGAGTGGTGGTGTGTGTGTGTAGGATGGTGGTGGTGGTGGAACGAGATTTAGGATGTGTGTAGGGTTGGTGGTGTGTGTGTAGGGTTGGTGGTGTGTGTGTGTAGGGTTGGTGGTGTGTGTAGGATGGTGGTGTGGGTGTATAGGGTTGGTGGTGTGTGTGTAGGGTTGGTGGTGTGTGTGTGTGTGTAGGGTTGGTGGTGTGTGTGTAGGGTGGTGGTGTGTGTGTGTAGGATGGTGGTGTGTGTGTGTGTGGTGGTGTGTGTAGAGTGGTGGTGGTGTGTGTGTGTAGGAGGGTGGTGTGTAGGATGGTGGTGGTGGTGGTAGGAGATTTAGGATGTGTGTAGGGTTGGTGGTGTGTGTGTGTCGGGTTGGTGGTGTGTGTGTAGGATTGGTGGTGTGTGTGTGTGTGTAGGGTGGTGTGTGTGTGTAGGATGGTGGTGTGTGTGTAGGATGGTGGTGTGTGTAGGATGGTGGTGGTGTGTGTAGGATGGTGGTGTCTGTGTAGAATGATGGTGTGTGTGTAGGGTTGTGTGTGTGTAGGATGGTGGTGTCTGTGTAGGATGGTGGTGTCTGTGTAGGATGGTGGTGGTGTGTGTAGGATGGTGGTGTCTGTGTAGGATGGTGGTGTGTGTGTGTAGGGTTGTGTGTGTGTAGGTTGGTGGTGTGTGTCTGTAGCGTGGTGGTGTGTGTGTGTGTGTAGGATAGTGGTGCTGTGTGTAGGATGGTGCTGTGTGTAGGATGGTGGTGTGTGTAGGATGGTGGTGCTGTGTGTAGGATGGTGCTGTGTGTAGGATGGTGGTCCTGTGTGTAGGATGGTGGTGTGTGTGTGTAGGATGGTGCTGTGTGTAGGATGGTCCTGTGTGTAGGATGGTGATGTGTGTAGGATGGTGCTGTGTGTAGGATGGTGGTGTGTGTAGGATAGTGGTGTGTGTGTGTAGGATAGTGGTGTGTGTAGGATGGTGGTGTGTGTGTGTAGGATGGTGGTGTGTGTAGGATGGTGGTGTGTGTGTGTAGGATGGTGGTGTGTGTAGGATGGTGGTGTGTGTGTAGGATGGTGGTGTGTGTAGGGTGGTGGTGTGTGTAGGATGGTGGTGTGTGTGTGTAGGATGGTGGTGTGTGTGTGTAGGATGGTGGTGTGTGTAGGATGGTGGTGTATATAGGATAGTGGTGTGTGTGTAGGTTAGTGGTGTGTGTTGGACAGTGGTGTGTGTGTAGGATAGTGGTGTGTGTGTGTAATGTGTGTATGTGTGTGTAGGGTGGTGGTGTGTGTGTGTAGTGTGTGTGTGATGTGTGTGTGTGTCTGTCCGGCAAAAACAACCCCCGACCTCCTCGTTGGTGCCGGACGGCAACGCTGTGGTGAGCAGTGTCGTGGGGGGAGGTCCAATTCCGAGTGGCCATTCCCCTCATGGCGTTTGTAACCACCACAGTGGGCAAATGGGGGCTCTGGACAGGTGCGAGGGGCTGGTAACCCCTCCACCTTCAATTAATTACCACGATACCACGAAATAAAACTCTTATTAAGCTTGTGCCGGAGGCCCCGGGTGGACAGGAGTCTATGACGTCTCCTGGCCAAACCAAATTTGGCGGAGGCAGGATATTGAATCCTTGCGCTTGAGGTTCCTCCAGAAACAACAAAAAGCCACTGCGGGTGGCCACGTGGAATGTTCGAATGTTCACTGCTGAGGAG